TCCCTAACACATAATTTTTCAGGATACCGATGTGATTGTGGCAAGTTTCTAAGTTTCTCCCATGAAAAAAATCAGTGAATAGGAGAACGTTGCTCACTAATAGTTAAGACAATGCTATAGCGCTCTCAGCATCTTCACAGCCCCATCCAGCGAGTCCTTCCCGTGTCCGCTGTCGCCTTGTTACCGAAACACCCGATCCATGTATTGCTGCTTAGTGAGCTCTGAAAGAACAAACAATCAGTTTGGGTAATAAAAACGACATACAAAAGACAGAAGCTGTGATTTATTTTGGGAGATTGAGTAGAGTGGCAAGCAGCACTTTAAAGGTCACTTGTCTCAAATAAACCTTATCTCTCTCTCAAATTTAAAGAGATATTGCAGGGTTTCCTTGCATCTAACCTGCATTAAATGTCTTTTACAAGAACATACTGCAGAGTCCAGCAGGCGCATCGTACGTGCCCGTGTGCCATATAGGTGATGGAAGTGCATGGGAGTGCTGGCAGGGGGAATGAAGATCAGTTGTGAGTGATCAAGGACTTGATTAGAAATATTCCTTTGGGAAGGCTGGTGGGGTTGGAGTTGCTTTTCAATGCGTGTTTGTGAAAATGGCATGCCAAGGGCATACACCAACTTTTTTATTTTGAGAGCCGTGTCTCACTCCAGCAGTACTTCTCAACCTGGCTATACAGAGCAGCCTTTATCACAAGAATCTCAAAACTTAAACTAAATTAGGGAAGAAAAACTGTATGTGCGAGTGTGTATCTGTGTGTGTGTGTCACTGCCTTTGAGCCAGAATGGGCTTCAATAGCGCCAGTTTGTGGTTGAGAGCAGGCACCTGCCCTGGTTCCCCTGGGAAATCCTGCAGAATCGGTTCTGCTCTTGGTCCTGCTCATCCTTTTCCTGGAGCCATTTTGAAAATCACTATGAATCTGGATAGCAGGGAGCTTAAATTAGATTTCCTTGTGTCTGGATTATCACGGTCAGCGTGGGACTTGCTCATGGGCGGAAAGAAATCTGATTGAAGCTGAACTCGGAGCCGGTTGTGGGAATAGGGAGGTTATAAAGATCGGGACAGGCTGAGGAGTTTGCTGCAATACTGTGGTCTTGTCAAGCTGGAGGTGATGAATCTGTGTGGGTTGATCTGTTCTGTAATTTACTAAAAACTCCTGGATTTTTCCAGTTGACCTCCAGCGTATCAGTGGCTGCCCGCAGCCCTTTTTTTTCTAGCAATTTGCTAGCAAGGGCTGGGTTGCTGCTGGGTGTCGTCCTCCCTGGCAAGTGATGCACTGACCTTGCCCTCGTGTGCCTTTCTTTCTCTTCACGTGGACGGAAGCGCTGCGGTGCGTTTGCAGGGGAGCCGGCTGACGCGTGAGACCCCAGGAGCAGAGGAGCCGTGTCACCCTGCGGCTCAGGCTGCCCCGGCCGCCCCGGCTGCCGCTGAACGCTCGAACGGAGGCAGCAGATGGGGAAAGCCAGGGAAACAGCCTCCACCAACACCGTGGTCGGCATCGTCGAAATATCGGTGGCTTAACTAATGACCGAGTCGCTGCAGGCTTTGAGGAAGAGAATGTGACTTTCTGCCTTGTATTCGTTAGCAGATGCATGATGCTTTTCTGTGCGTGGCCCACAAGCGTGTACTGTAGGAGCATTCATCTGGAGTTTAAAAGTAACCAGCCACTGCTCCAGATCAGAATTAAATCTCAACTTTTCCTGCTTCACTTTTACACTCTGTTGTTGTTGAAGAGGTCACATCTCGGTGTGCCTCAGCTCTTGCCGCATGTGCTGACAGATAGCGAGCGTACTTTTGGCCACGGGATTGAATTTTGTCAGCTGAGTGGTTTGACCTTTTTGCTGTTCTCAAATCCTGAAAATAGATTTTTTTTTTTTTTTTTTTTTTTTTTTTTTCCAGCCTTGTAAAGGATTTTGGTGGCTAAACATAGGCTTCAAAGTGTTGTGTTTCCTTCGTGTTTGGATCAAGTTCACTATTCTATACCTCCTGCTTGGAGGTTTTTTTGTGGGAGTTTGTGAGGGTTCAGCAAACTTGCTCCTTTTCCAAATACATGTGAACATAGATATTCATTTATAGGTTGGCTATTTTATACTTTTTTTTGTAAGTAAAATGTAAACAAAACTAGAATAATGTAACTATTAGGATAGTGAAAAATGCTTTTGTAGTCTTTCATTTCCCAGAATTATTTTGCAAGTAACGATCTGTGCTGGCTTTTAGAGCCCATAGGGTGGTTGGCTTTGAGTAGCGATTGCCAACGAGAATGTCATTGGGAATGATAGATGACACAGCATCCCCCATATTCCTCATAACAAGCTCGATAATCAAAATTATGTTACATGTTTCAGAGGTGCTCTCAACTTTTTTTTCTACGGGAGTGGGGAAGGTTTAGAGGGACCTACAGTGCCGCTTATGGTTTGGGAAAACACGTGAGTGACCGTTTGGTAAAGTGCTTCTCTTGTGTGCTCTTCAAAAAACGGACATAAAAATGTGATTTCAAGTGAAGATCTGGTTTCCAGTTCTCATAAGTTTAGTCAGTATTTATAAAGTTGATATTGGATCAGTAACCATTTGTGCAATGCTATCTTTTAATTCATAAGACTGAATATCTGGTGGCTGACGTGACTGTGTGGAATTTTGTTGGTTTTATGGAAGCAACTTTGTCATTTTGATCGTGATACTTGATCCTGTCAGAGTGGTTTTGGACTCTTTTTTTCTTATCAGAACACTTTTTTTTAAAGGATATTGTATAATTTCATCATTTATAAATGGTAATAGAATCTGATTCTGTGATACAATGTTCTTTCCATACAGTTGAGTGTAAATTGAAAAAATAATAGAAATAGATGTAGCAGAAAAAATGAGCAGCTGAATTAAAGAACTGGTTATTTTGTAGTGTACCATGTGGCTTTGCTTCTTCAGAAGCCTGCTACTGACTTTTACTCCTTTCAGTAGAAAGAACATGTTTGTAGGCTTCAATCATGCACTAAAATTTGTGTATCTATATATGTGTGTTCATCATACAGATCAACTTCCAGAATAAAGTGCTACTGTGCATATGTGGACCAAGAATACATAGTAGTCCTTCTGCGTACTCATTTTCTTAAAGACAATTCAAAGCATTTTATGGACCAAAATTTTTGTTTAGATGACATCCCTCTTTGTTCTGTATTGATGTTTTCTAAAGGTTATTCTTGAACTAAGACATGAATTGAATTTGTAAACGGGAATCCTGCTTCATACCGGATTGCCACATAAGCTAATGTTTAAGGCTGTGGGCTATCTGGCTGGCGTCATCTATTTGTCACTCTAGGTGCTCTTAGTCCCGTTGGTGTATGTCAGTTAGCTGTAAAGAGGCCAGGCCTTTGTTTTATAGACCACTGCATCATTTTCCATCAGTCGTATAAATCTGAATGTGATTGGGCAAGCTCAGCCTAAATTAGTTTTTTCTCAAAATGTACGCCAAGTTACAGGTGGAAATTCAAGCACGTAACAAAAGTCTTATGAATAACTTTGCCTTCAGATCAGACTTACCCATCTTGTTTTCCTTTCTTTTTTCCTGCCTTTCCCCAAATCCGTGTTATTTACAGCTTCCGGCTGATCTCACCAAGATGCATCTCACCGACAACCCCCATCCTCAGGTGACTCACGTCCCTTCAAGCCAGTCAGGATGTAGCATCGCCAGCGACTCTGGGAGCAGCAGCCTATCTGATATTTATCAGGTAAAATTGCATTTGTTTCTTATTTTTTCCTTCCTTGATGTTAAACAGACCATAAACAAAACCAGTGGCCCTCCTGATGCTTCCGCGTAGCTCTGTGTTGCTCGTGTGACTTGCCACCTCCGCTGCCACACAGAAGTCAATCAAACTTCTTGTGGAGCTTTTTTTGTTGCTTTTCATGTCTTTACATACCAACACATGTGCTGTGGCTTTTAAAACTCACTTCTGATGATTTATGGGATCACTTTGCTTCTTTCTGAAATGGAACAAAGTTAATGAAATCATTCTCGTGTTTCTGATGCCTTCATTATTTGTATTTATTGATAATGGATTTCTGCTTTGTAAACAAAAGCGTGGTAATGAACGCCCTCTCTGTGCTAATTGATTGTAGGAATTCTAGTGTTGCTTGCTGAGAGCAGAAGTGGTCTGAAATCCAGAGATAGGTTTCATTTGTTTACAGATAATGTACTTAAGTCTTGTGTCAAATTGCAGAGCTAGTTTCGTGGGGGTTTTGGTTCTGGTTGATGAAGCTGCTCATCTTGCGTTTGTCTTGATCAGTAATTTCACAGCTTTTCCACTTCCAAGTTGAAATCCGACTACAATATTGAGTGTAGAGCAACTGTTGAGCTCGCTGTAGGTGTAACTTGATTTTAGACACCTGTTCCCTTTCCTTGGGTACTGTCCGGTTACTGTTTCCATACTGGAGACAGATTAGCGATATATCTATTCACAGCAAAGTATTGCTAGGGAACTTTAAAAATAAGGCATTAAAAGCAAAAATCCTTTTAGAGCGTTAAGTGTCTCCGTGCATTTCTGCCCTGTTTAATCTATTACCTTACTACTGTGACTGCTTACAGCTGTGGCAGGACAAGGGGTAATGGTTTTAAACTAAAGGACAGTAGATTTAGACTGGGTACAAGGAAGCAATTCTTTACAATGAGGGGGGTGAAACCCTGGCAGGGGTTGCCCAGAGAGGGGGTGGAGGCCCCATCCCTGGGAACATTCCAGGCCAGCTTGGCCGGGGCTGTGGGCAACCTGATGTGGTTCAAGGTGTCCCTGCTCCTGCAGGGGCTTGGACTAGATGGCCTCTGAAGGTCCCTTCCAACCCAAAATATTCTATGATTCTACTGCTTTGGATTTGCTTGCTGCCAGCTGGGTCAGTAGCGTGCATCCCTGAGAGTCTTTTTAAAATGCTCTGTGGATCCTCTGATTTCTGAGAGGCAGTGCTGGAAGATCTTGTTCTGTATCTTGAATTTTTTTTTTTTTACTCTTCTGAGTCAGCAGAATTGATTTAATTAGTCAGAGTCACCAGAAGTAGTCTGTGTGTTGTACCTTATCTCGTGTATTAGCATGCTGATGGACACTTTTCCTGACCATTCGTCTGTCTGCCTGTCTACCTGAGTAGTTTGAGAGGTTGCTCAAAGTGAAAAGCACTTAAAATATATTATCGATAACGAAAATATCATTCTAGTAACGAGTGAATACTCTATCATGTGGTTAATTGCATTTGAAATGCCTTATGTCTACTCTTCAGAAAATGCCAAAAGAGCATAATGCTAAACAAATAAGAATTATATAAGTAAAAGAAATAATGGAATAGCATATTTATGTGCACTGTATCAAATAGGCAGTGGTGAAATGTATTATTGTACTTTAAGGAATTACTAATTTATTAATGTGAAAACGACTGCAGATTTTCTATTGATTTTAAGGAGTGAGGGCCTTTCTCATCTTCTCGTATGTATAATGTGCAAATAGGAACCCGTCAAAAGATGCTGAGTATTTTATGGGCTTCATTGCAGTAGCTATAACAGTTTTGGGGAAGTCTCTTACTGTTTGTCACCTGGTTATAAGTGCATGGATAGACAACTGTGTAATGATGTCATGGCACCGCGTTTAACATCGCGGTATATCGCACTGGCACATCAACAGAGACAGATTTTTAAATCGGAAAGAAAAAGACCAGTGTTTCCCCCAGTATTCATCACGATATTATGAAGGCAGAGAATCTCTTTGATACGCAATAAATCTATGTTGCGAGTACAAAGTATTGGCTCAGTAGCTGAAGGCGTTTTTGGTGCATTAAAATACAGCTTTTCATAAAATATTGGGAAAACGACGCTTTGCATTTGCAGTCGGCTTCCTATCTGTTACATGCCAAGCTCTCTAGGAGTATCGCTAATGTCAGCAGAGGAAGAGCATTTTTGAATTATTTTGATGAATGTAGCCTTGAAGTGACCTTTTGAATTAAGGGGATCTTAAAAATAATTTTTACGGTAAGTAGTGCAAACGTAATTCCAGCATAGGAAAATATGATTAGACTAGTAGAACCAAAGAATGAAACTATTTTTTATTAAGATTTGGAAAGGGTTTCTGTTCATCTGTGTGCACTCCATTCATCGATAGTGTTGAAAAGAGGTTTCACTTGTTCCAGCTGCCTCTCGATCCAGGATGTTCAACAGGAAACGGTGAACAGAAAGCTAAAGGCGAGATCAGCAGAAAGGGAGCCCTGCCCGTAAGCACCGCTGCGAACATGCGGTGTTAGAGCCTCAGTTAATCACAGAAACTTAGGAAAATAAGTGTAGGAAGATATTTTATTCCCTTCTCCTGGACTGTTACTGCTCCCTGTTGGAGCTTTCAGTCTTTATCTGGTAAAATGTCCAAGCGTGTGTATTGCAAAGCCCAAATTGCTTGGAATACTGCAGAGCAGTTGTTTTTGTCAGACTGTAGACTTTTTTTTTAAATATAGGGGAAAAAAAAAAGTTACTCCCTACAATTTTTAGACCAACTTCTTTAATTTGCTTGAAGTGGGTTTTGGTTTTTATATTTATTTATGTTTTCAGTCAGCCCATTCCTGGCAGCATGCTTAGTTTGAGAGCTGTGGTGTTTAGACAGAAGTAGGGGAGGCTGTGTGGTTGTGCATGCAGAAGGTGAAATGAGGGATTAGATCTTCTGCAAAGAGCCGCTTTGACCTGTAAGAGGTATGCTCAGGGAGAATTAATTCAACGGGTATTACAGAGTGAAAACATCTTCCCTTGCCCTTTGACAGGACAGGCTTTAAGGCGGCCAGCCGTGGTAACGCAGGTAATGCAGGTCGTATCTGAGGATGTGGGTGGGTAGGGTCTCACTTCTGCTATACGGAATCAGTTGCCTGTATCAGTAGCTTGCAACGCTGGTCTCTTAATGACCAACAAATTTGTTTCTATTTTTTCTTATCCCTTTAGTTTTGGCAGTATATGCTATTTGTGGGCAGCAACATTATTGCCCAGCAATAATTCCAGTTGTGGTTAAGGTTTTGATATTAAAATGGATTATCTATAAAATATGCATCAAGGAGTGGGCTTTACTGAGGGTTTTTCTGTCAATTCTGAAAAAAAGACTTGGACATTTTTCCCCTGGCAGAATTGACATCAGGGGAGGGGGGGAAAAAAGCCCTCGCGGGTTGCATCAGGAGTCGTGAGTACTGAAGTACATTATCATATGGAGTTATTCCAGCACAGGAAACCTTTTACATGAGGCATATTTAATACTTCTTTTTCTGTCACTGTATGCTTCTGATAGGCATTATAGTGGAATACAAATCATTATCGCCAAAACTTTGCATGGGCTAGTTCTTACATCTTTGGCCGGTGTACAGGACATCTTCATGACCAACATTTGGCAAACATAGCTGAAACATGTTAATTGGCAAAATTTGCACTGCTGTATAGAGAGTAACAATAGTGTTCTTTTAAAATAGCAAACAAATGTTCTGACAGTAAACTGGTGTTAACTTCCCGGATGATCTTCATGACACACACCGTTTCAGTCTGTTCCCCCTGCCTTCTCAATAGATATTCTTGTCCTATAACCCCAATCCTGAAAACCCATGTTTGTCTAAGATTTGAGGATTGCAGCTTCTGGTTTCATTTTGTAAATTAGTAGTTCATAAACATTTCCGTTAAGAATGATTTTGGTATTTGATAATGGAAACGGCTGGGACATCATGCTTGGGAAGAGCAGCTACTTCTGCAGACAGCTTTACGAGCAAAATCCTTCCTGTTCCTTCCAGCGCTGCCTGACCTGGCCAACGTTTTGTCAACCATCTGCACATAATCTTTGAAACACAGGTTGAGGACCACCTCTTATTTCATCGCTTGATCAAATTACGACTTAATTTTCAAGAAAAGAGAAGATTTCTTTGTTGTGCTATGTAGGATATACGATGACAATTTTAAAGAATCACTTTTCTGTAGAAAATAGAGCCTCAATTTTGTTATCTTAGTTTGAGGTTCTCAAAGTGGGAATTAGTACCGTAGTCTGTCTTGCTCTGCCTGGAAAAGTTGATATGCATTGTGGCTGTTTAGATGAAGAAATGCTAGAAAAGTCCTTGAATAAAATGCTGTACTGATCATGTGCTGCTGAGACTCTCCAAGCACAATTTGCACTTGGGCTTAATTCCAAAACTGTTAATGTGAGCTACATAAGCCAGTAAAGTGATGTAATGTAAAACAGATTTAACCCTGTATATATTGTTACCCTCCTCTGAAAGAAATATTTATGTTAAATCATTTAAGCCTTATTTATTAGCTTTGCTGGCTAATTGTTAAAATGAGGACAAGCTCAAAGGTCCAAGGTTATATCTAAAAGCCAGTATTTTTCTGCCTAGTGAAAGAAGGAAATGCTCCTCATCTGTCAAAGCGCTGGGGCTTGCATTAGCCGATCAACATGGAGCGTGTAGGAAGATGGAGGCAGCGCAGTCTGCTGTGATTAAATCACTTAAGATGAGGCTTTTTTATGAGGCAAGGAAGGCAGGAGACCAGCGTGGCTGAGTAAGGACCTCCTGGTCGAACTAAAGCGCAAGAAGGAAATGCATGCAGTGGAACCAGGGACATGTATCCTGGATGGAATATAGGGACATTGCTCGGATGTGCGAGGGTGGGATCAGGAAACGTAAGGCACAGTTGGAGCTGGATTTGGCAAGGGATGTGAAGAATAACAAGAAAGGCTTCTACAGGTATGTTGGTCAGAAGAAGAAGATTAAAGAAAATGTACTCCCCACCCCCAATAAGACAGGAAAACTTGTGAGATGGAGAGGGCTGAGGTATTCAACAGTTCTCTTGCCTCAGTTTGCAATGGTAGTCGCTCTTCCCACACCTCTCAAGGCCCTGAACCTCAAGGTGTGAGGACTGTGGGAACGAAGTCCTTCCCATGGTAAGAGAAGATCAGGTTTGAGACCACCTGAGGAACCCAAACATACACAAGTCCATGGAGCCCAACGAGGTGCACCCCTCCTGAGGGAGTTGGCTGCTGTAGTTACCAAGGCACCCTCCATCTTTCTTGAGAAGTCATGGCAGTCAGGTGAAGTCCCCAGTGACTGGAGAAAAGGGAAGAAGGCTCTGGGGAGACATCACCACAGCCTTTCTGTACTTTACGGGGGCTTCTAAGAAAGACTTTTTACCAGGGCCTGTAGTGACAGGACAAGGGGCAAGAGCTTTAAACTGGAAAAGGGTAGATTTAGCTTGGATATAAGGAAGAAATGTTTCACAGTGAGGGTGCTGAGGCATTGGAACAGGTTGCCTAGAGAAGTTGTGGCTGCCCCATCACTGGATGTGTTCAAAGCCAGGTTGGACAGGACTCCATCCTTTATTTTGGAAGTTCTGTGAACATGCAGAGTATTTGATGCATTCATTTGTCATCAGTGTTTTTGTAAAACCTCAAGTATTTCTTTTAAATTGAAAGTGAATATTGTAAATACATTCATTTAAAAAAAAATAAACTCCATTTTCTGCGAGTCTACATATAGTTGCCTTATACTTCTCAGTGACACATCTTGTTGTTCAAATTTTTGAATTTGAACAGAAAAATGATTTGCATGCTGGCTTAAGCTAAAAAAAAAAAGTGATTGAGCAACTACTCTGTGGAAACTGAAATTGAAAATTTGAAACTTTTTTTTTTTTGCTTTCCATCTGTTTGGAAAGTTATTTTCATGCAATTACATCATTTAAACTTTACATAAGGAATTATTGCAAATTATTCTGCTTTTTGTTGCCAGTATTGCATTCTCTTTTGCTGCTGCTTCGTGTGTCTGCTCAGCGTGATGTCTATATTGCCATCTATTGATGACAGTAGAAATGTGTCTACAGGCATTGGGTAACCAGCAGTGTTACTGAATTATGTTATTATTTCATTAATACTACAGACTCTTGTGAAAAAAATGTTTTGTTTACATGAATTTGCAAGAAAGAGTAAACGCCATAAAATGAGAATCACGCAATAGAGGCAAGAAGAGTCATCCTTATTTCCTAGGCCCTTTATATACTGCACCTGACATACTTGCTCTATGCCAGGATTAAAATCCACGTTATAATACCCAAATTAAAAATAAGAACAAATCTCTTTCATTATAGCCAGTCAGTCTGCTTTGGTTTTTCCCGTGTCTCACAGTTACTATTGATGGGTTTATATTGCCTGTAGTTCATTGGGGGTGGGGAGGGATATGAATAGAGAGCAAATGTCCCAGTATGTTAATTTTGGTTTAGAACTTGTGTTCATAATTCCTGTAGCGTGGTGTTGCTTTATGCCGATGGTATATATTTGTACCATCCTCTAACTGTAGACTTCAGTGTAAGGTGTTTTTTTCAGTGTTCAGAAAGGGAGCTATTACAATTTCTGGTTTGAATTGTTGATCACGGAATTTCTTTTGTGTTTTAGCTACCTGAAATGAGACCATAAATCATTAAACTGGAGACATTGAACTCTTTGTCCGATGGATGTTTTCTTTGTAGGCTACAGAAAGTGAGATGGGAGACGTTGATTTAACAGGTCTTCCAGAAGCACCTGTAGATTCTGAGGATGAAGAAGAGGAGGAGGATGAAGACATTGACAGAACTTCAGATCCGCTTCTGGGGCGAGATGTTGTACGAGAGTGCCTTGAGAAAGAGCCTGCAGATAAAACTGATGATGATATTGGTGAGGAGAAAAAAAAAAAACCTTTATGTAAAACTGTATCATATAACATCTGTAAGAGAAGCGTATCTGAGTTTAATGAGTTAATGTTCAATGTATAGCCTCATAATTATCAAGTGATGCCTTCCAGAGATCACTTTGCTCTAGCGATACTGTTAATTGAATGATTTCTCCTCGTACTATCTCAGAGAGTATTTGTTTGGAGGAACTAAGCATTTTAAAAATGAGATGCTTAAGATGTTAAGTGTTACAGTCATCGTATGTGTTGATATAAGGGAGGGATAGGCAGCAAAATAATTCTGCCTGAAACTGTTGAATTAGTTCTTAAAAGTCAGAGAGAATGTACTATTACTGCAGTATAGTTTTATGTAACTGTAAACGGAAAAACATTTAAGATTAAAATAATTCACTGCAATGTTTAACTAGAAATTGGCATTAGTTTAACAGTAAAATTTGTGTTATGCCGTATACTTCAGATTACTTCTCTAAACGCTGGAAAGTCATTTCATGCTCCTATCAAGCTTATAATTACTGTACTGCAAGGGTATTTTTAATTTTTCTAAATGTTTGAAGCTGAAGTGCTGTTACACTCTAGCCAGACTGCTGCTTGCTGTAAGAGTCAATCAGATCACGATCAAGACTGTAGAGCTGAGTTGCGATGGTTGATGACAAAATACATACGGGGCTCGTTTAACCGCAGGCACTAATGGGGATTATAACACCACTGAGCAATTTTTCCATGAATTTAACTGAGCTTTAATATACATGTGGAGGGTAAGGTATCTAAAGGAACCCCTGGGCCTTGCAGACTTCATACCAATGTTTCCTTTGTCTAACAGAGCAATTACTGGAATTCATGCATCAACTCCCTGCCTTTGCAAACATGACTATGTCTGTGAGGAGAGAACTTTGCTCGGTGATGATATTCGAAGTAGTAGAGCAAGCAGGAGCCATCATACTTGAAGACGGCCAAGAAGTAAGTTACTGCTTATGACACAATTTGAGTGCTATAGGCAGTAGGTTAGCAAGGGCCTCTGGGGGCGAAGGGCTGGAAAATCTGTTTTCCGTCTCCACATCTCTCCCGCATCTGAAAGTTAGAGAATTCTTCTCTCACCATGACCCATGCGCAAAATCCCCAAACCTTAGCCCGTCCCTTTGGGAGATTCTGCCTGTCTTGTTCAAGGCTTCAATGTGGCCAAGTAGAGACGTAAACCAGTGTTGAGTATGGTGTTATCACGCAAGTGCTAACATCTGGAGGAATTTATTTCAAAGATTATTTGTGGCATAGATGAATGCACTATTTCCATTGGTAAAATAACTCTCTTCATATAATGCAGTTTTTTTAAATACTAACATGGAGAAGAAGTATCCTTGCCCAACAATGTAGGTATTATAACACAAACATCTAAATTAGGGAGTGGTTTCCATACATACTCAGTGGGAGGAGACATGTTCAAATCACTCGGTGGTCAGGCTCCCAGTGTAGTCTGAATCACTATTTTGCAATCCCTCTGTGTCCTGGGATCGAGACGTCTGGAGTGACCATAGCAAGTCATCCCCCCCAGAGGACTAGGTAGGCTCTCGTCTCTGGTAGTAACTGAATGGGTACCCAAGGGGAAGAGTGATCATTCTCACGAAACGGTATAAATATATTGTAGCAATTAGCCCACTGATTAAAAAAGCAATCTATTCATCAGCATTCCTCCCTACTGAATTAGTTCTGAAATGAATGAAGAATGCTGAAAAGCATTCTTCTTTCAGTCATTTTTACTGCTTGCCTTACAGTGCACATTTTTAGTGAATTAAATGTTGCAAAACTGTTGTGACAACAAACTGGAGGCTGTAAGAAAAAGCCTTGCTGAGATAAGAGCATTGGAACAGCTTATAGAAGTTGTTGAATTAGCTTCACTTTTTAAATTTGTTTTTTTTTTATTTCCTTTAGCTCGATTCTTGGTATGTTATTTTAAATGGCACAGTGGAAATCAGCTATCCTGATGGGAAGAGTGAGAGTCTCTGTATGGGAAACAGTTTTGGGATTACTCCCTCTCTGGACAAACAGTACATGAACGGAGTGGTCAGAACCAAAGTAGACGATTGTCAGGTAAGATCACAATTCTGTACAACCACCTCATATTTTTAAGTATCTAATAGAAGAAAACAAACTGCTTTCATCCTAAGGCATGTTCTTTATTCCAGGAGCAGAAAAAGAGGAGGTTGGTATTTTATGGGTCAAGGGCTCTGCTGATGTTGAGTTAATTGTATGCTCTTGGCGTGGGACTGGGACTTATTTCTCATTGCTGTGGTGTGAGAAACAGGAACTTCTGCTTTGTGCTGAAATGTAAGCTTAGTCTACCCCGGTCACGCTGCGTGTGTGACGGATGTGCAGTAAGAACAGATAAATAGAAAATACCCATTTCCACTTCTTACAGGCTTTGTCCTCTATATGTTTAGCCCATTCAAACAACCTTTTGGAGATGTAAGAAGGTGACAAGTTCTAGTTGCCTTCTGTTTCTAACTTTCTGATGTGGTGGGGCAGAACAGAGTGGGGTTGGTATCAAATGCTGTGCTGTTGCGATTTTGTTGAAGCAGCCTAGAGGTGGGGATGCATTCATGTTTTGGATATTTATTAACGATCCCGTGTTGTTTGGGGGCAGTTTGTGTGTATAGCCCAGCAAGACTACTGGAGGATTCTGAACCATGTGGAAAAAAACACTCATAAAGTGGAGGAAGAAGGAGAAATTGTTATGGTAAAGGAGCACAGGGAGCTGGATCGCAGTGGAACCAGAAAAGGACACATAGTTATCAAGGTGAATTGGTTTCTGTGCTTTCCATTGATCTATTAAACCTTTATTTATCAGTAAATAAATGCAATTTCAGTTTGATTCTAGAACACATGCTCAGTTTTGTCTGTCTCGGCTCAAAAAAATTGATTGGAAGGAAGTTATATTATTTTACATATTTACTTCCATCTCCCTTTTAATAAAGTTAGACCTCTTCAGCACATATATTGAGTTTTGTATGGGGAGCACCTTTTGTGCCTCTTTATGTATTGACCTGTTTTTTATAATCTTTAAGAGGAACGTAAACTGTTTATTAAAAATAAAATTAAGGCAAGTTACTAATTGTTTTAGCCAGGTATTACCTGTGCAAAACATTTGGGCTGAGAGAAGCATGAAGATTTGATTTAAATGCATTTGTGTGTTTTATCCTGAGTTTGCCATAACTGAAATTTCAAAAGGGAGTATTCAGTTCACGTGGTTTTATGCTAAGATACTCTCTAAAGAGAGGTAGTGACGAGAGATACCAGTTGTTTTTTGCATTTAATTTTTAAGGCAACACCCGAGCGACTCATCATGCACTTAATAGAAGAACATTCTATTGTGGATCCAACCTACATCGAAGATTTCCTTCTAACCTACAGAACATTTCTAACAAGCCCCCTGGAAGTTGGAAATAAACTCTTGGAATGGTTCACAGTGGACAGCCTCAGGGATAAGGTTGGTTTGAGTCTCAGATTAGTATACGTAGTAAAAATGTCTCCAAATTCATTCCTTTTTGTGTTGCTTGATAAACTAGGGTTGTGCTCCAGCTATTTTATATGAACTATTTTAAAGCAAAGTATTTTTCACTGGTATCAAGAAAGGGTTCTCCAGTGCATTGTATGTGTATAGTGTACTACCCTAAATCGGGTAGGACGCTGCTTCTCTTCTGCAGAATGATAAATACTTTTCTAGTTAATTTAAAGATATAAATGCCAGTCTCTGAAATCCTTTTTGACCAGAAATGCAGGGACATTCAATTCATGATCTCTTGGACATGCCAGCTTTTCACAACAGCATTGTGCTTGCCTTCCATAATTCTCTACTGTAGCACTTCTCAGTGCGCTGAGCACGTTTTGTCTGAGCAGCTCGTTACAAACTCTGTGCTTAAAATAAACTGCTCAAGACAGGTGCAGTTGATAAAAACGCTTCCATAAATAGGAGGAGGTTCAACTCCGTGTAACTGTATGCCCGCAGACGTGAAAAATGTTCGCAGTTTGGAACCTGTATCCGTGTTCAATTTGTTGAAAATTACGGCAGTAAAATTCTTAGCCAGTGGTTTTACGTGTTCTAGCTTTGAGCTGAAGGAAACCCAACAGGCTATCAAAATGCTGTAGTTTCTTCTATAGGAAATTGTCTGGGGTCTTTTGCTGTGGTTATGGCTTCTCACATTTTTCCATGCTGTTCGTTTTGGCAACTACAGTTTTTTTAAGAAAAAGAAAGTAAAAGAAAACTGTCTCAGCAAATAAAAGAGGAAATTGTTTATTTTTAGAAGAGAAGCTGCTATAGATTAACCTTTTTTCATAACATAGATGGATAAAATAATCCTGAATGGTAGTAACTCCATAGCACATATAAAATCAACCTGAAGATTTAGCTAGAAATTCTTAAAATAAAGCTTTTTATTATCACTTTCTGTAAGGAGATCATTAGGATGCTTTAAAAAGATAAGATTTACAAACAGCATAAGGAAGAGTTAACTGAAGGTGGATTTGTGTACCAGTAAGTACTGGGTGATGCAGGCAATTAGGTACAAAAATGCTTGGTTTTTATTTTTCATTTGTTTTTACAAATAAAGGAAAAGAGAAGATGATTTTGCGTGTAAATGCCTTCTGCTTCTGTTTATTAAAAGATGCAGTAATCTGTCATATGCTATTCTGCCATGTCCTTGTTTTCTTCTTTGCTTATAGATTGAAGCCTATAGGAGAGGAATCTTAGGTACCTTTATATATACTTTTTTTTTTCCCTGCAGGTTACCAGAGTGGTCTTACTGTGGGTAAACAATCATTTTAATGACTTTGAAGGAGATCCTGCTATGACTCGGTTTCTGGAAGAATTTGAAAAGAACTTGGAAGACACGGTAGGAACAAAAAAGAATGACTCTCCTACTTTCTAATGTTACACACTTGCATTTTCCAGTGTGTTACCAGTGACTAACACATTGTAGTCTCCAAGTCTTAACAGTCAATAGAGGGCTCTTAACATGGACAAATTTGTTCAGAAATACATATTTAGATACAAAGTCCATATGAAATAGTACATATGGCACTCGTGTTTCTGCATTACTGCAAAAGAGGACAAGGTTTATTTAGTAAGACTTGGATACATGGCATCATAAGTCCCTTTTCTGGCATTTGGGTTTTGTTTTTTTTTTCACAACTGTTTTTCCATTTCTAGTAAAAGAAACATTGCACTCCATTTTATGTCTTCTGTGTAACAGAAAATGAAAGGACATCTCAGACTGCTGAATATTGCCTGTGCTGCCAAAGCAAAATGGAGACAAATTACCCTGCAAAAGCCTTCTAGAGATTCGCCACTGTTTTTCAGCCTTCTTGGAGGAAGCGACAAGGGGTTTGGTATCTTTGTAGAGACTGTGGAAGCAGGCAGTAAAGCAGCAGAAGCTGGTCTCAAGCGTGGGGATCAGGTAAAAAGAACAAAGTTCACTTAAAATACTCATCTCTTATTTTAATTTAAAAAAATCTAGTTCAATCAACTGTAGTGTTCCCAACAGAAAGAATATGCTGTTTACTAAAAGCAAAAAACTAGCCACTATTCTATTGTGAATGTCACAGTTCAGTTTCAGTTTCAATGTGTTAAATGGGTTTCTATTAAATAGTTTTCAAAATATTTAAAATAGTTAAATATTTCAAAAATAAAAAGGGAAAGAAAACCAAATTGGGGTTATTTTAGGAAACTTGCTGATCATAGATATGGTTAAGTTGAAGCTATCGGATTGTTTTGTTGCACTGATTCCCGCCTGGTGTAAATCATCCCAGTTTACTGAGGCTGGTAGAGCAATGGCAGTTCACACCAGGTGAAGATTTGGCCTCTGATGTAATATCAGTTCTATGGTTCATTTTTCATTCGGGTGCAGTTCCTAATTGCAAGAACGTTATCACAGAAAATAAATCTGGTTAAAGCATTTGTCAGGGAGAAATGGTGGTCCTGGCTTGCTTATAGGATATAACTTCACTGACATGTTGAATATCGTTATTTTACAAGGAATGTTTTGATTCTATACCTGCTGTAAAGATGATTTGAGAACTACTGGAAAGTTCTTATTGTGTCTGTATTATCACATTTGTATTTGTAACTCTGTTGGAAACACTTGTTCTCCTAGTAGTGCAATTTTTATTTTTTCTTCAAGATAATGGAAGTAAATGGACAAAATTTTGAGAACATTACCTTTGTAAAAGCTCTGGAAATCTTAAGGAACAACACTCATCTCTCCATTACTGTAAAAACAAACATTTTTGGTGAGTAGAGTTTCTATAGGATGTATTTTTGTGTCTGTGAAGAAAAGCTCCAGTCTTTCTGGCTTTAGAAGTGCAGTAAGATTCCATCTTTTTTTTTCCTAACTGGCTCTAGGAGTGAAAAGTTGTGCAGAAGTCAACTCGTTGTGCCTCCATTTGCTCAGATAAGTTCTGGTGTGCCAAGGGCTGCGCGTTGAGTGGCACCAAGCCAGCCTAGCCAGCTCTTTACTCCCTGAGAAATCCTCAAATGACTGTTTAAGCGGCTTTAGTGTCCCTTCATGCGATATGGCTGAGACAGAGCCAAGGGATCTGGGCCAAAATATGTTTGCCAAGAAACAGCAGAAATGTAAAACCGGGCTTTTGAAAAACTTTTTATAATGACTATAAGAATGATAGGATAAATTGCCTTTATATCTAAAATTGAAAAGGGGATATAAAAAGCAGCGTGACATATAACTGTTGGCTTTTAATTGTCAATGTGAATATAAACACATAAATACCTCTTTAAAATCTCAGTCAAACCATCTGTTCTTTTTCCATAATCCTGTTCAGGCAACAGCATAACCATAGCTACAGAAAAAACGAGACTGTGCACAAGATAGCTCCTTCCTCTGGAGTTGTGTCTGAGACCCAAAGGTTTCGTTTTCTTACTTTCTTCCTCCAATTATCTGCCTTTGTTCCCTATTGATTTTCTTTGAAATTATTACTATTTTCTATTATTATTTGGCTGGGTCTTCTTATACAGAAAGTCCTGTTTGTCTTGGTCGTAGGAACAATCTGAGAAATGTGCTCTGTACGGTTCTGCGTTCTCCCAGTATCACCATGGTTTTGACAGAAAATACTGAATTTCTGACTTCAGTGATTTTAAAATATTGTCAAAGATCTTTTAAAAAAATAATTTGTATTGATAAAACAATTTGAACAATTTGTTTTCACCTTTTATATGTGGAAAGAAACACAAAGAACATAAACACTGTCTTTTCCATGGAATTATATTTTTGGGAATGTCACTGTTGGTAATAGACTGGCTTAGGCTGATAAATGTAATAGGAAATTTGATGCAGCTTCTGTTCGGTAGTATTACTGAAAGCAAAGAAAGGAAGGTTTGGAAAATATCAGTCTGTCTTGCAGTTATTCTTGAGGAAGCATCTGCACTCCATTACCTAAAAGATGCGGACAAAAAAGTCAATAAATACATAGAGCTGATTGCCATGAACGCAATGTTTCCTTCTTCGCTATCTGGTAACGATAGACTAGGTCTATGAAATTTGCTGTGATATGTGCTAATTTCAGAAGTAGTTAGGAGAACTCTGCTATGCAGAATGTTTGATCGTTTTTATTGAATGTTTAGGGGTTGGTCTTTCTGCCAAGGTAATGAAAAGCAAAACTTAAATGGGAGAAAACACACGCCCTTAGAATCAAAATTAAAATGCAGTGTATTGCCTGGTAGGTAACTACTTGGTTTGCTTTTTCTGCAGGGATGTGGGAAGCAAAAGGTTTGAGGGGAAAGAAGAATTCACTGTGAAATTTAATGTGTGCAAAGGTAAATCAGAATGATTTTGTCTTCTGTTACAGTGTTTAAGGAGCTGCTCTGCAGGATAGGACAAGAGAAGAATGGAATTCCACATATTCCAAAAATTGCAGAAAAGAAAAACAACCGTTACTCCATCCCAGATATGCCTGGAGATGTGGAACAGATGTTTCCCCGTGAAAAAGGAAACAAGAAAATGAAAGCAAACACTGTGTCTGGTGGGAGAAACAGGATCAGGAAAATTTTAGACAAAACCCGATTCAGCATCTTGCCTCCAAAACTGTTCAGGTTTGTCAGACTCTTGTGGTCAAAAAACAGTTGTTCCTTATTAAGTTGTGATATTTTAGTTGCTTAATATCTTCAGTTATTAGTCCACGTTGCTTATGGGTTGTTTTTTTTTTGTTTTAAAAACACAGCAAATCTGACCCATAAATGCAGAAGACGACCATGATATCTTTTCTCTCCCAGTAAACACTTTCAAATATGCTTTTCCTCTGTCCTTGTTTTGAAAGCCTGTCTACAACGTGTAATTAAAATATCTGAGGGCCGTTATTTTTCTTAGTTTTGTTCATCCCAAGATGGATATAAGGAGTTTAATTCCCATCATTGAAACAAAATTGTTTTGCAGTGATGGGAGCGTGAGCCAGTCGCAGGACGACAGCATCGTTGGGACCCGGCAATGCAGACACAGCCTGGCCATCATGCCTATTCCGGGAACGCTCTCATCCAGTAGTCCTGACCTGTTGCAGCCTACAACTAGTATTCTGGATTTCTCTAATCCTTCAGGTAAAACAGCAGCATTAGCTTGATTTACAGGATGATTACAAGGCAGCTGGTTCAGGGAGAAAATTACATCTTTTACCAGCATCAAACATGCCGAGTGTAATTACCTGTTTATCTCGTGGCCCTAGCAGGTCCAAACTGGAGATTCGCTGAAAATCTAAACTGCCTGAACCTCTCTTGCCTGTTTTTTGTAATGTGACACCTAGCTTGTTTTTACAAAGCAATCTATTTTTTGCCACTTCTGAGAGGCTTTGATTTACTGGAGTTTACCAGAGCTCTGGTGGAAGCAGATTGTCCTTGTCTGCACCTTCCTCTTTTGTCATCTCTTCCCAATACCAGCACTCCTGGTGATTTGACTTGTCCACGCACCATCTTTGAATATATATTTCAAGCAGTATTGTGGATGGAATAGGAGTGCCATGGTACCAACATAGTGATAGTAAGGTTTCATGTTTTGCAAACATGACGTATATTCAGCTGTATGTCTGAAAAACTGAAAACCATTTTGAGATGTGTACTGTAAGCTTTCATTGCTATTACTGTAGGAATACAGTTTTGGGGTGGCTGCAGGAGGCATTTGTTGTTACGTGCAGCTGCCTGTAACCATGTCAAGTCAGAATCTTGTTTCCCTATTTTGAGTGTAAGTTCTGCGCATAATTACATATTCTGTAAAGTGCCTTGTGGCTGTGACTTACTTATGTTTATGTAAACTTGCAGATTTCCCCTTTTAAAGAGATGTACACAGATATATCCTGTGCATAAAAATCCATAGCAAATAAGCTCCCTTTTTGCTGCAAATCCAGGTTCTTGCTCTCTGCATGAGAGCTACGCACATGTTCTCCAAGAATCTCCATTTAATATTATACAAGTTACTGCATGATGTGAAATGTTGATCACTAGTCCTTCTTACCTTTACTTTAAGATTACTATAACACGTGCTGTTGGTTTTGAATGGCAGAGAAAACCAAGATATTTCTGACAGTGTGCTACGTACACTTGATAAGTTTTGTAAACCTCTAAATCTTGATTTGGTGTTGACACGGTTTTTTTTCTTTTTTTCCGGCCTGCAGCTGTTGGGTTTTACTGTAAGTATCGTGACGTATATCATCCTGTAGACCTTAATATTGCATGGCTTGCCTGTTAAACTTAACACCTTCAGATGTTGCATTGACATAGTTATTACTGTTAGGGCCCTGTAATCTTCCCTTAAATAAAACAAATCCATAGGTCCTCTTAGTGGGCACAGGCCTGTAGTGAGGCTGAGACCTGCATTTTATTCCCGTTTCTGCCACCGACCCACTGAATGACCCTTGGCAGGTTACTTCGCTTCTCTGTGACCTCGCTTTAAAGGAATGAAATTGCTTACATCCCTTTTATAGAAACTGAAGTTCTAAATGATAACGTAGGTTGAGATTTAGTTTGTTCTTCTGTTGGACTCTGTGTAACTAAAATTACATGCATGCAAACTTGAAATGTGTTTTGCATTGTCAACACAAGCTGAATAATGCATAAGAAAATAAATTTCATTAATGTTTGCCTGCTTAAAAGCAAAGACCATGAAGACAGACATGTGCTTGTAATATCAGTTTCCCTCACCTGTCACAAGTTACACTATGGTTTGGTTGCATGGCGATTCTTCCTGCCCCCCCCCAACTATGTTTCCGTTTTTGGTTTTATACCTTGAATGTATTCTGATTTTCTTAGGTATGTTGATACCAAGATGTTTGGCTCTTCTGCGGATTTATTATAATTTTTGAGTGCTGACACTTCCCAAATTATTCAATGTGTAATTTTCACCACTTTCTCTCTGAAATAAGTACATAATATTTATTTTTCACTTTTATAGCCCCCCATTCATTTGTGCATGGAGCTTTTCAAATTCAACTAGTCCCCAACTATTAATGAGACTCTTCTGGTAATATAATAGTCACAAGAATGAAACTGTTCATAGAATTAGTTTTCAGTCAGATTTTTTTAACACCCTGTTTCCTCCCATCTTCCAGTTTATTTACAGCTGATGTTGAGGCTCTCTTTTTTTCCAATAGGTGGAAACTTTTGATGCTGGATCATAAATTACCTGCTTACTTTTTGCCCTGAAATTCCTGCTACTTGCCCCCATAACACCATTAAGTCCTGATAGAAGAAAAAGTAATCCTGAGGTCACTGCCTCATTAAAAGAAATCTTAATTTCTTCCTTAAGCAGTGGATTTTGAGAGTGGAAAGTTAATGTATAGGTGATGGGGTGAGCAGCATGTAAAACTCAGTGCTCAGAGAGCTGCTGCTGGGAGGACCTCGATGCACAGCCTGCTAGGATGATTCCCTGGCAGAGGAGTGCGGGTTCCCCTCGGCAGAGGGACCCTGGTCATTACCTCCCCACGGCACTCGCCGCCCTGCCTGGCGATCCGGAGGCTCCCCTCGGCTGGCAGGTCTCCTCGCTCCATGGATTGGGCACTTAGTGCTATTGAAGGCTGGTCAAATAACAGAGGGAGGTGAAGGGCTGGTTTGGAGGCGGCTGCTGTAATAACAGCCCTTGGCTTTTCTCGCTGGGGGTCTCTGATGCAGGAGCTAATGGCCCATCTGCCTCCGATGTGGTTTTTTTTTGAATAGCTGCAGGCTCTGAAGACATGGCTGAGGGCTCAGCAAGAGCCTCCCACCTTCTCAGGTCTGCAGAAAACTTGTGAAGTTTTAGCCTTCAGGGTTTAGGGGAAAAGCTGTGCTTCCCCGAGTTTTTAAATTAGTGTGCACTCTGACTTGACGCTTTTTTCAGATCGGTTTTATTTTGAAAATCAAGCCTTCTGTAGTAACTAATGGAGCGAATTATTTCCAATCATCAAGCTGTAGATTAAACGTGTGTTTCTTCAGATACATACTTCTGCTGTAGGCTGCTGCAGATAAAGCTGGTCCCTAATGCATTTATAATACCTAAAATGTGCTATGAATAAGTACCCTAGCCAAAGAATTAACTGCTGGCAGCAGCTTAGTTCCTTCAGGGTGAGAGAGGGAGCATAAAAGTTCGCAGCTAGCTATGGGAGCAACCAAATCTCCTTTCCTCTTCACGTCCTCCTGCCCTCAGCCCATCCACGCGTGCTCGATGGCCTCCTGTCCCCAGGAAGGGTACCCTGGCACGCCTGGCGATGCTGGCTCTCGCAAAGACGAAGGAGCCAAAGAAGGAACGATGCTGCCAAAGTTTGAGACACGCTGAGAAGGACAGCGTACAGCTTAGCAATCTATCTAGATGTCTTGTACTCTGATTGCGGTCACGCGATGATAAAGTAATTGAGCTGTGGAAATGCAGAGAGTCGAGTCCTCTTTTTTCCTCTCAAAGTTGAAAGAAACGACTGAATATTTTAATGAATATTTACAAGTCCAGCATGGCTTTTTTTTTACTGCTAGCTGCTTTTTGTTTTCTGGCTATCAAAGGAGACAGTAAATGATCTCACGTCTTCTCAAGGGACAAGAAACTTCATACATTAAAGGTGCTATTCTGTTCTTCTAGATATTCCGGATCAAGTAATAAGAGTTTTCAAAGCAGATCAGCAGAGCTGTTACATTATCATCAGCAAAGACACTACAGCAAAAGAGGTTGTGAGTCACGCCGTCCACGAATTCAACTTGACAGGAGCCCCGGAGACCTATTCCCTCTGCGAAGTGTCTGTCAGCCCCGAGGGAGTCATCAAACAACGGAGACTCCCAGATCAGTTCTCAAAATTGGCCGACAGGATTCAACTCAATGGACGGTAAATGGGCCCTTGTTGCGATTTCGGTTCGGATTTATTTGCCTTTCAGGATGGAAACGTCAGAAGGAAACATTAGGGAGGGATGTTTTAATTAAAATAGACAGGTGTCTATTAGAAGAACGAGCAAGTAAATGTCAGTAGCTTACATTTCCCTCTCCTCCTTTCTTCCTTCCCCAAAAGTGCAGCAAGCTTGCATGATGACAGCCAAATTTAGATCAGGATAACGTATGCAGTGGCTTACACTTAAAAAGAAAAAAAGTTAGATTTGTTCTGACACTTTCCACATGTACTTCAGGATTAAAGCATATGATTAATGTCTTCGTGATGTCATGTTGCAATGAACTGATACTAACCTGAGATAAATTCTTCCATTTTATGTAAACTGTTATGAATGTTTCTGAAACGTTAAGTGCTTCAGTTTTATCTGATGACCTGATCCATACCAGAAGAAAGTTTATTAAGTAAAAAATTCTTCAGTCGTCTTTGCTAGGCAACAGAGGGAATTTATGAGGGGTAAACTTTTGTATATCTGAAAGTGATCTGCTTGGGACCATGGAAATGAATTTTCCAGATACGTTTTCATTTCCTGAATACTGTGTGCTTCATGTAAATATTAATACACCACACTAAATTTATGTAAGAAACCACACTAAATTGGTGTAAGAAATGGAGAAATACATTAACAAGAGATTTCTCAGGACTAATGTGTATTTAAAATGTTATTTCACTGCTGAATTTACAAATGGAAAAGTAACTGGCCTTTTTCTGAAGGTGAAAGCTACAGCCTATTGCAGGGTACAGTATAGACAATATAAGCAAAGAGGTGGATTAAAACAGCTTTTTGAAATGTTTTTTTACTTCGGTAATGATGGTATTTTATACTAGCTAAAGTACAAGGTTACACTGTTCCTTCTTGCCTCTGTGTTTGCCTCTTACGCTGGGTTGTCACAGGGGAAAGGCGCTCACATTAACACCCCTGCAGTGTCATTAATGTCCACCTTGATTGGTATAGTTCAATGCCTTTGTGTTCACAGACTCGCTGAAGAGCATCTCTAACGTTTTATTGTAACTCAACTATTCTTCAGGTATTATCTAAAAAACAACATGGAGACAGAGACCTTATGCTCAGATGAGGATGCTCAAGAGCTCCTGAGAGAAAGCCAAATTTCCCTCTTGCAGCTGAGCACCATCGAGGTTGCCACTCAGCTTTCCATGAGGGACTTTGAATTATTTCGCAACATTGAGCCTACAGAATACATCGATGACCTTTATAAGCTGGACTCCAAAACAGGAAATGCTCACCTGAAACAGTTTGAAGATGTCATAAATCAAGAGACGTTCTGGGTTGCCATGGAAATTTTAGCAGAGCCCAACCAACTCAAAAGAATGAAGATTATTAAGCATTTCATTAAAATTGCCCTCCACTGTCGAGAATGCAAGAACTTCAATTCCATGTTCGCGGTTATAAGGTAAAACGCTTCCCATTTGTCGGACCTGATTTGTGCTGTCAAAGGCAATTCCGTTAATCTAAACGGAAAGAGAAGAGATGGGTATATCCTGAGCAGATTACCGATGGTGCCGGGTGGTTGTAAGGGAATTACCAAGCTTTTCAAAAGCCAGACTCTGCAAAGAGATGTGTTGTTGCTGCAGTCTTTGCCTTCCTCAGCCTCCGAAGTTCAGTCTTACTGCGGTGGTTGATGTG